TACTCATTAGCTTATTGTGTCTGAGCTTCGGAAAAGTTTGCCAGTGAGTTTGGTGTTGTCAATGACCTATAACCACAGATAGACAGTGTATCCTATTTATAAGATATCATTTGTTGTGTTGACAACATGTTGCCTGCTGTTTAGAACTCCGTCTATATGTGGTTGTAGGTCATTGGGTGTTGTGAATACACTCATTAGTTTATTTTTGTTCTTACCGAAGATTTTGGTGCCAATTGCGGGTTCAGGACCAGTATAACTGGTTGCTGATCCTTTTCGTGACAGAGCATCTGCTTTTTCATTTCCTCTATTTCCTTTATGTCTTAGCACCCATTTAAGGGTTACCTTGTTGGCCATACATTTCGCAACTGTTGAGTACTTTAATTGACGCTTGACTGTCTGAGCAGATAAGGATGATTTTACTTGTGTATCACCTCCTTAGGTTTTCTCGCAGACAGAAGTCGATGGCATAGATTTCTGCTTGGAATACAGTGGTGTATTCTCCAGAGTTTGACTGATATCGCATCTGGGAGTTTGTCCATATATTCCAGCGCCGGTGCCATTTTCTGTTTTGGAGTCGACAGTGAACCAGATAATTTTTTGTTTAGATGTTACTCCTCCCGTGTTTCCTACTCGAACAATCTCGATGACGAAGGGTTTTTCGAGGGATTTTTCAGCATCATATAGTCGCTTTCCATGGTTTAAATCGCGTTTGTGTTTATTGTGGTGATTGCGGCATGTCCATTTGGTTTTGTGTTCCAGTTTTCGTTCAGCTGGAGACGATATGCCCCGATTCTAGCCTCCGCTTTGACGATAAGGTCAATTGGTGGGTGGTTAACGATCGTTCCCATACTTGCCGTAAGTGACACGTGCGCTGTGCACCGGTGATAAAAATACATGCAAGTCTCTGGATTTTGACTAGCTCCAGATTTGGTTGTCTTTGTTTGGTTTACTTTATTTAGGCCACCATATAAGTTCACCATATGTTATCATTGGTCTTACAACCGTAGTTTATAGTTTATATCCAGTGTACAACTGACGGTTTTACTTCTCATGATTTCTCAATCGTTCTTTTTATTGACATCAACGTCATCTTGCTTTTGGTGGTTATCTTTTGAATGTGTTACGTCCATGTCAGCTTCATATTTAGGATGACGCCCAGAAATTTAGCTTCCCTACCAAACTCCAAGGTTTTTTGGAATAGACTGGGGGGTATTAGGTACTCCAGATTTCTTTTTCTCGTGAAAGGAATAAGTTTTGTTTTCCTTTGGAGGGGTCAACAGGAAGTTCCTTCCTCGTGCACCATTCCTCAATAACTCCTAAGGCGTCCTGCATGAGGTTTGATACCGTCCTGGTAAATCCTCCCTTAATGACAACGACTATGTCATCCGCGTAGGCTAGGGTGAAGTAGCCTTGATCGTTGAGATTCCTCAGAAGTTCGTCCATGACTAGACAACACATGAGTGGTGAAAGTACTTCGCCCTGTGTGCATTCTTTTATCGCGGTTACTTTCATAGAGGTTCCAGCAATAGTCGAGTTTATAGTCCTGTGTTTTAGCACGGATTTGATCCATCTGCATGTGGTATCATCAATAGCATGTTGCCCAGCAGCTCTGAATATGGAGTGGTCAAAAGGCTCCCTCTATGTCAAGGAATGCCACTAGTGCGATTTACTTGTTTTTTAGCGAATTCTTTATGCTTGTCACCAGTTGGTGTAGAGCTGTTCCGCATGATTTGCCTGGTTGGAAGACAAGTGGCCTCGGATTCAATGAGGTTTCCCTGATGTGCATTTCAACTAGTTTCTCTGTCACCTTTAACATAAAAGACGATAAGCTGATCGGCCTGTATGACCTGGCCTGAGATGGATCTCTGTCAGGTTTTGGGATAAAGACCGCCTTTACTTCTGTCCAGGACCCAGGAATGTAGCCCTTCCTGTAGGAGTGCTGGTATTATTCCATCTGGTCCCGGTGATTTGACGCTGTTAAATGAGCTTATTTGCTTAGTAGGTTACCACTTTTTTAGCAAATTCCCAGTCTTCCTTTGGAAAGGCTTGATGGGTTTTTGCTATCAGGGGTGACTTCGGTGGAGTCTGGAAAATGGGTTTGAAGAAGTAAACTTTCTTCCCCATTTTTTGTGAAATTCCCGTAAGGCTTTTCAATGGTTTCCGTCGGTTCTATCGGACTTTTGGATAGAGTTTTCTGGATGCAGAACTTTTTCCAGGCTTCTGTTTCTGTTTTCCAGATTTCCTTGTTATATTCGGTTAGGGCTTGGGGTTTGCTGATATGTTTCTCAATTTTCGGTTTTCTTAGCTTTATTAAAAAACTTTCGTGTATTTTTACTCAGCATTTCGAGGTTTGCAATGTTTGCATACCACCACTTTTCTTTGCGGGTGCGGTTTGCCTAGATTCTGCGCAGTTTTCATGTTATCTATTTTTGTTTCAATTACCGTTTTATTGTTAGTCAGGTTTAGTCTTAGGTCTCGTCAGTATTTCTCCCAGTCAGTATTACCAGGGTTACGATATACACGCTTTGTTTTATCAATATGTTTGATTTCCATTTATTATTATTATTATTATTATTGTTCATCAATAGCAAGCGGAAAATCCGATGAAGCTATTGTTCGAGTCTCTATACTTAATATGATTTTTCGTCCTGATTATGGAGTACACTGTTATGGTGGATACCTCACAGGTCCGAATACATTTAGATAAAAAAAAACAAAAATTCAGTCAAAACTTTCAGGCACCGTAATGTACAAAATTCTGGGATGTTTGCTCTAAATAACTGTCAACACAGTTTTTAAAAGAGTTTACACTATTTGCAGATACTGTACTTTCTTCAAGTGAGTTCTACGTACACAATCCGATTGGTGAGGAAATTCTTTCTTGGAAGTGATGCTGATCTTTCCTTGTTTAATTTTTTTGAGTGCCCGATTGAAACGAAACAAAGTTCTCTAGCCACAAGAATAGTAGCCTGTCAGAATCTTGAAGGTTTCTATCAGATCACCCCTAGTTCTTCTTTGCTTCAAAGTAGTAAGCCCAAATATTTCCAGTCTTTCAGGATAGGTTAGTCCTCTCAACTCGAATGGAATTCTGGTAATCCGCCTTTGAACCCTTTCCAAAATTTCAATTACCTTGATGTAGTATGGGTTCCAAATACTATAAGCATATTCGATTTTCGGTCTGCTATAGGAGACGTACAACTTCCTCACGATCTGAAGAGAGTTATCTTTGGAAGTCTTTTGCACCATGAAAATAAAACTATTGGCCTTTTTCATTATCCTATTTATATGGGGTTCCCATTTCAAATCATAAGAAATCAGCACGCCCAGATCCGTTTGCTCAGCAACGCTAGTAAGCTGAACATTATTTAGGAAGTATGCTTCATGTGGATTATTCGGACCAATATGCAGTATTGTACATTTTAATGCATTGAGCCTCATGCACTACTAGTCCGTCCACATCTCAATTCGCCTGAGATCCTCATTCAAGCAGTCCCTTTGCAACAATGGATTACAGAACCCCTTGGTATCATCAGCAAAGAAAATGATGTTTGTCTCAATGTTCCATGACAAATCGCTAACAAAAACCAGAAACAGTAATGGACCCAAAACAGACCCTTGAGAGACCCCACTGATAACCGGATGTTTATCGGACAAAATACCATTGACCCTCACCTGATAGAAGCGGTTAGCGGTTGGTGAGAAAGTCGTTGATTAGAGCAAGAAGCTGGCCTCTTAGGTATACCAAAATATTCAAGTTTGAAGAGCAACAATGAATGAGGTACTTTATCAAACGCTTTCTCAAAGTCCAGGTATATTACATCTATCGGTTGGCTTTTTTCATGAGCTTTGGTTCAATTATCACCGCAGCTTAGAAGGTTCGTTATCGTTGAATGTTTTGAAATGAAGCCATGACATGGCTTCATGACATTGTTGTGAATTTGGTAGAACTTTGTTGGTAAGTAGGAACTCAGTGATTTCAGTAGCAAAAATTTTCTCTAGACATTCGCAAGGATTACAGGTCAAACTGATGGGTCTATAATTTTCCGCGATATGTCTGTCACCCTTCTTATAAAGTGGAGTCACCGTTGCATGTTTCCATATTTCTGGAATTTTTCCCGAATCCATACATTGTTGAAATAATCCTGAAAGATGGTTGCCAATAGTGGTTTTGCACTTTTGTAGGAATATTGTTGGAAATCCATCTGGGCTCGGACTGCATTTTGACTTCATTTCACTTGAAGTCCTGTTCGCTTTTTCTTCTGTTAATTCTATCCTATCCAAAATATTAGTTACTCTCGAATCATCTGGCAAAGTTGGTCACATGATCGGGTCTGGGTTGAATACTTTGCTAAATTGCATAGCAAACTGTTCCCCCAAATCTTTTGGATCAGTTATTAATGCATTATTATCGTCCTTTATCGATATAGATAATACTTTAGAGTTGAGGCTTCTTGTTACATATTTGAAGAATTGCTTTGATGTGCCATTTGAATGTTCTTCTCTTAACTCAGCTCTATAGTACCTACAATGCCAGAGTAGGGAAACTCTAAAGAATATGGGATAGGGCACATTCATTTTGCTGCCGACTCCGATGTTGGTTTCAAGGCAAATTTCCACCATTCCTCGCGAATTGTTTGTCAAGTATTCTGGAACTATCCAACGATCCTATCCATATTATTCTGTCTTCGTCTATTTAGTTGCTCTCTTCTCACTTTCGCATTTTTAAGTCGTTTGTCAATTTTTTCTTGATAATTTTTTTGAAGTTGGTCGGGTTATTTTCTGTCTGTCTGTCTTCTACTATTTATAAAAAGAAATATACAAAAACTAATTGTCAATTACAAGACAGAATCAAAACTCGGTCATAAATCAACTCTCATAAATAGAGTTTAGGGTCCAATACGTCGATAAGCTGGACAACGATCTTCTGTTTGTTTTTTCGATTTCATTTTAATAAACTTCAAATTCACTATTTGTATTTACGTTATTATATTTTTTCTTACCTTGAAATCACAACCATTATTAGCCTTGAGGCACAGCTTCACGTTGCACTGATAGTAAACTGAGGCAATGTAAGGAAACTTGTGAGCCTTGAACTGGACCTTAGCCTTGCTGGATTCCTCCGAGTATTGAAACATGCCCATTATTTCTTGATCAGTAGGACAACCTTCCGAATCTATGAGTTTTTGTTCACCCCATCCAAGACCGTCTATAAAAAAACAATTTTATTTATGTGTGTGATTTGGGTATAATACGGGAAAACTCTTACCTTTTACTACACAATCTGTAACTCTTATCCCATAAATATCCTGAGTATCGATAGAAACAACCAGACTCAGAGGATCGCCAATTTTAACATTTTCTGCGACCAAATGATTGGAAGGTTCTCCGTTGTATATTTTCATGCTACAGCCAGGCATTGCTGTCATAGCTGTTACTGGGTCTTCTGGCGATGAAGTTGGACTAGCGAAAACAAAGTGTCAACAGGCTGAAGTTTTACAAAAAAGTAGACTTACTCCATTTTCAATGCTTCATTATAGGCAGTGTTATTTCGGGTTTTGTAGCGACATCTTATGTGGAATCCTTTACCTTGGTTGGTTACTAGTTTGAGGTGGGGTTGGACGACTATTGTGTTGAAGTATTCAATGCCGCCGTCATCCTGAAAGAGATTTTTTAATTTAATTCAAGAATTTTTGTGCTTGTCGCAAGAAGAATCACATATTAAGGAAAATAGGCAAATGTAATTAAAATACAATAAGAAATATAGGTACAGTGGAAATAGGTAGAACTTAAAGAATTTGAGATTACAAGGAAGGTGTGAAAACGAGTCAAAAGCAGGCTAACTCGAGCTTTGTATCTTAAAATGACGGCGTGCGCAGAAAAGATGCGCGTGAGAGTTAACCTGCTGATTGTTCTTGTATATGCTGTGTCAAAAGTATGTAACAGAACAAGCAATGATCATATATTTATATCATATCATGTTTACTTGAATTATTGGTAATAAAAAGTTAACCAACTGAAAATGGAAGATCGGAATCATAAGAAACTTTTTAAGAGGAACTTGATCTAACATTAACAATAGATATTATTCGACCTTGCATTTTTAATTAACTTAACTAATACATCTATTCAAATAATACATGAACAAATCAGGAATGTCAAAAGAACTATCTAGTGGGAGACACATGACACATAGGGACACACGTTGACCTAATTCAACAAAGAGCTGAGATGATCTAAGAGGACTTTGAGAAAGTATTTAAAATTGTATGCTAAGCTACAAAAAAGTCTCTCGAAAAACCGTGAAACTACAATTCACTCTCTGAACAACTGTAAATCGAACAGGCCTGCAAGGAAACTAAATAAATGAGGAAAAAAGTGGAAAAAACAAAAACAAATATAATATTTATAAATAAATAAAAAGACCACTTCACCCAGTGTGATTTTTGAAAGGACCAGGAAATTCGTGTATTTGAAGCTGTATATTTTGAACCAGGTGGACAAATTTTCTTCTTGGAGGTTTACAGTTTTCTAATGGACATTCAAGTACCTTCTTTGGAAGTATATTAACAAATTTTTGATAAGTAATTTTAACGATAACGAGCATTGTTATATCCAGGACTTTTCAGGCGATGCTTCTAGCAGTTCCAGATATGTTTGGAAGTTCAAATTACTTTGGTATCATCTTGAAAATTTTATTCATGCCTAACAATTGCCTTGAATTAGAATTCTTTTTGTTTTGATTCCGCTAATTACACGGCAAGTGAAATATTTATTTTTAGACCAATGATGATGCTTCTTTACCTTGAATCAACGACCATGTCAGAACGTTTCAAGCGTATATTCACTAATAGTACCGACTTGTAGAACGTAGAACTACAAAAAGGTTTATTTATAAATATGAACCAAGACAATACAAAATTAATTATTGGTTGTTCATAACAGAAGATCAAGAATCACGCTATGGACTTTATTATTTTTCCAATCACCGTTAGAATTTGATATAGAAAAAAATCAAAGTTCCCACATTAGAGAATGTAGGAAAATGGGTATAATTAGAGTCGTAGTTTAGGCGGTACTGTTATATTCCATAAGTAAAAGACAGGTATACTCACTCCTTCTATAGGTACACGCGAAATGCATTATGTAGAATTGCGTGTGCAAATAATAAGATTTCAACTATATTTATGTGTTATGGTTAACTGTACAATGGGTGTATTGAACCTGAACGAACTAAGATGCGTCCTAAAACTATTGAAAGAAATTTAAAAAAAAATCGTAAGATGAAGATAAAAATAATGACGTTGGAATGCAATAATTATCTGATTATAAAGAGGGAAATTCAATATTAGTCATCATGATTATCATCTAACAAAAACATTTAATTAATTTCAAGGAAGTTTCAAGCAAACAATAAACCATTAGCTCAAGCACTCTCTAATAACAATCATCAAAATATTAATATTATTTTAGAATCAAAAGTTTTGTAGAAAAGTTCCCAGGTAACCTTATGATCAATTTGCACGTTTGAATCGACCTTCGACTTTGTTCGTGTGCTATTATTTGAAAGTAAAATTTTTACTTTTCTACTGCCATTGATTGAATCACCGATTTTGCCAATGGGCTTGCTGCCTACATTGATTTTTTTGCTTCTTTTTTTTTGTGCAAGTTTCCTTTTTGGTTGAAGCTTCCAACCCACGTCAATACATATCTACTTTGTTAATTGAAAGTGTTTTTGGATTATATAATATATTCATGTTTATTGTATAATCGCTTCCTTCCTTAATCCTCCTCAATAGGAAGTACTTATATTTTACTGAAATCGCTCAAACAAGTAGGTATGTTTGAATGTTACCTTTTGTATAATTCCGCTGCTAAAACGGTTGTAACTTTTGAGGAAAAAAGGTTTAAGACTGAAACATCACTGTCAGTTAGGGGAATAAATTTCACCTTATAGCTATCCATCTATTTTCCTTTATATTACTCATTTATTGAGTTATAATATTATAGTAATGCTTCGACGAACTTATGTGGTAATCTTTTGTTGTTTGCATTCTTTTTACATTTAAATTGACACAAAATCGAAAGTTACAACACCCAGAATTCGATTAGAATACCCAAAAACTAAAGTAGATATTTATTATGTCATCGCAAAATTTTGCAACACGTGTATAGGCGAAAACCATCGAGAGTATAAAAACTAGTTTTACTAATTACCGAATATCTAGAATCTTTAACAAGGTAGATACTATTTTTACTTCCTCGAATAGGTAGGTACATGTACTAGTTATTACAATGAATAGAAAAATTTGACATTAACCTCTATCATCTCCCACATGAAACCTTGATGACAGTATACGCCTTCGTCAACGTACTTAATGATTGTTTTGCAAAGAACCGGTTACCCAATGTCAGAATTGATCATAATTTAATATGATTCAACTGTAACTAGACTGAGTGAACATTTGAATTGATAACGCTTCTTATCTCTGATAGAGAACGTGAAACTTATGAAATGACATTGGACAACTGATTTTGGGAGATTTTGATTTTGAGTTTTCAAAGAAAAAAAACTAATTAAGTATGTTTTAAATTAGCTCACTCTGAGGACCACACAGATCCATGGCAGGGCCAAGGTAGAATATTTCAGCTGTGTATCAATATCAGGCATGGATAGCAACCCTGCATGATTGTCGACTTTTTAAAATTTCTGCTTTAAATCCAATGATTTTGAGTAATAAAAATGTTTGGCCCGAAAATGTAAATGTATGCTTTGCAATATTATTTACAGCTCATTCCAGAAAGTCTAAGCATGATTCCCAACTTTACTTTAAATAAAAGCCTATTGACTAGTATTGACATTCCTGATCTTACAAAAGGGTACAAAATGTAGCTTTTTCTTCCCGTATGACAGTAAATTTTTATTCCTAAACCTTTTCCTTTCTTTAGATTGAAGGTAAAGCAAGCACTGTCCCACCAGTGGCCAGCATGAGAAAAGAAGTCCAAAACCTAATGAAAGAAGGCGATTCGTTAGTGTGGGAGAGCTATAAGCTCGACCCTTATGTGAAAAAAATTTCCGAAACAATTAAGGGTTTCCAAGAAAAAGTCGAAGAACTAGTTATCATTGGTGAGCAACTAGAATTTGACGTGAGATCTTTGGAAACTTTTCCATATTCAGCCAATACGTTTGCAGACATACCTACTGCCGAGCCTACTGCCAACCAGCAGTTGATGATTTATCTTTAAAACAATACTCAAATTTGCACATTCGCGTGAGATTAGGCGAAGTTGAAAAAGCTTTAGCCCGTTGTTTACAAGCAGGTATTGAAGCTTGGACTGATGCACTAGCAGGAACTAAAATGACTCAGAGAGTGAAGATGATAATTTCTTTGTAAGAGCAATTACCAATGAAACAAAATATGTAGCTATAGTATTAAGAAATGGCTACAGAAAATTAAAATCAACGGAAAGGAGGTTGTATGTAAAGTGAATACAGGAGCCGATGTTAATGTCCTAAATATGAAGACATCCAGAGATCTGAACCCCTTTCGGGTGCTGCTAGAACACTTCACACCTGTCAGTGACCTGTCATACTCCATGTGTTTTGTTCTCGAACGCTTGAAACCGAACGGGTCAAACTGTAGCCGAAGTACTTCGGAGTAACTCGGGAGCGCTCAAAGGGTGGCACCCGAAAGCAGGTCTGGATATACAGCTGAGACCCTCTCTTGTGAGACTTAGAGGATATGATGGTTCAAAAATTAATGTATCTGGAGAAACCACAATAATGTGTGAAATTAATGGAGTTAAGCACAGCTTGGACATTCAGATAAATAATTTGGATGCTACTTAAGTTATCAGATGTAACTTATTGAATGAGACAACTTTTAAAAAATAATGTGGATTTTGCTTGGACAAATAAACATACTTCTGATTTTGAGAAAATGAAGAGCTTGTTAACTAAGACACCAGTTTTAAAATTTTTTGATAACAATAAAGGCGGATTTAAACAACTTTTGATAAATTTAAGTCGTAATTTTTTCATAATTTAATGCATAAAAGTTAAAAGTTAGGAACTTTTAAGGTTATTATTATGAACTAAATTATGAATTGAGCATTAAGTAGATGTATAAACGCTTCCATAGAAAATAATGAATTTAACTTTAAAGTTTATGCACTAAATTGTGAATTACGCACTAAATTAAAGTTATGAAGTTGTTTACTCGCCTTAAGAAAGTTGTCTTATCAGTTGACACTAGTAGCAAGGGTTTGGGTGCTGTATTATTGCAAGATAACTAACCTGTTGCATACGCATCCAAAGCCTTGACACCTAATTTAAGAAGTGAAATGTTAAAGCTTATTATTTGTGCATTGACAAATGTAAATCAAGAGTAAAAAATGTTTTGCCCTTTTATGTACTGTAGTACTTGTCAGTTTCAGAAAAAAACATGGACATGAATACCTATTTATTGTTAAGGGAAGGGAATCCGAAATAGTTCTTGGGAGATGGTAGGTAGGCACTGATATTTTTTATTATGAAAAGCAAGCATCTTTATTGGTGGTGGATTATTTAAGCAAAGTCTTGGAAGTTGAAAAATTGCAAGCTGAAACTGCAGATCATGTTATAACTGGACTTGAAAATTTTCCAGGTATGATAAAAAA